AAGTCGATTTTAAGAATACACAAGGTGATGAATTTTCCCACAATGATACGAATATGCTCTTTTCAGCTTCGGTGCAACTTCATATTCCGGTAAGCGGAGTGACGCAAGCTTGAGAATAAATTTAAGAATAGCTTCCAAAGATTTTAATAAATACGAATTTGGAAAATTGACGAATGAAAAATAAAAAATAATTATATGATTTTTTATAAATCAATGTCGATTTTTAAACAGTCAGCCAGCTTACCACGGGGCCTCTATAACGAGGCCTTTGTCCACTGCCATCCATCACTAAACAGGGCAGAGCTTGTCCATGCAATCGGATTGCTGGACCGTCTGTTAAGGAGCCCATTTCTCCAGTACCGAGGCCGACCACAGTTGTCATGCGGGTGGTACAATTGGGTGTCTGAATGACGTTGCCTTGGCCAAGCAACGGGGCCGTTTCCGACAAAAATGGGGCACTTCTTGCTCCTGGCAGGCCAAATCGAACCGGTGCTCCTGCCATGTCTGACGCTAAAAAACAGGCAGGCAACCCAGCCGATGTTCGTCCACGACCTGAACAGACGGACGTCCGGTAAGCGGCCAGGCCGGGCAGGCCACATTGGCTCACAAGTGGGCCGGTGGAGAATAGAGGTCCCATTAGTCCAAGAGGCTGGGCAAATCTGCCCGTCGACCGACAACCGATTGGACCAGTGATCGGCTGTCGACGACTCGCGGCCCAGGCGCCCGGACCGGCTGTCTGTCGGCCGGGATACCCGGCCCGAGGACGTGAAATTATGCCACCGGCCAAATGCAGTCCGGCCGGTCGGCCAGACGCTGAGGCACTAGGAGAACCCGGAGCTCCAGTAAGACGAGGCAGCAGTACAGGACATCCGGCCAGACCGACAGGATTGACTCGAGCATCGGAGCGGACTGTAGGACCACGTGGGGCCAGAGAGATTGACGACTGAAGTAGCGAAGAGGGACTCTCGGCTGGTGGAGTGGTGTTTGTAATTTTAGCCAACTTGATGTGCTGAAAAATGGGAGATTATCACTACGTAAAAGTGACACACTATGCAACGAGCAAACTAGCATCAAAACAGAGACATTTTCCCAATTTCCGATAGGAGATTGTAAACTTCAGCTTATTTATTAGTAGCAGTTTAAAAAACTGTTCAATACCTACATTTTGCTCGATTCCATGCAAGATGCTTTAATACTAATTAGAATTAGTAAATATTAATAATTTCAGTTGTGAGTTACAATTCTCATTCAGCAGACCACTTATATTATATGTCAATTTATTAGTAAGAACTTGGTCTCTGTAAGTGATTTAGTATCGGTGACTGTAATCTTGGACAATTTAATGCGCTAAAACATGAGATATTACTAGAACTTGAGGCAAAAACAATGATTTTTGCGAGATATTAAGACCGAAATGGTAGTTACACAAAAGCAGTTTCCTGATTTATCAGGTTATTTATAAATATTAGTTTAAAAGCATCTTCAATACCTGACCTCAGACTCAATTTCATGTGAAAAAATATTGAATAAATCTATTACAAGTAAATTATAAAATATAGTAATTTTTACTTTGAGTAGGTTTTCTAGATGAATTATCGAAGAGGTGAGCATTTATTAATCATTAAAAGCGTGAGCATTAATTTTATCAATAATTCTTGATTAGCAACTTAGTCAAGCGATTTAAGGACTCTCGGTTGGTGGAGTTGTGGTTATAATTTTGGACAATTTTATGTGCTAAAACATAGAGCATTATCATACAAAATTAATATCACAGGACGCTTAAATACTAAGATTTGTACAAACTCAAAACAAACTACCATCCAAAAGCAGACATTTTGCTAATTTCCAAACGCACTTTTTTATTTTATAACAAAACAACTGGATTGATTGAAAGTATGAAGACCAAGATGGTGTGGTCTTTTTTATGGTCGCAGTCTCCTTCCATTGTATA